GGTTGCAGTGAGCCGAGATCACGCCACTGCACTCCAACCTGGGCAACAGAGCAAGACTCCATCTCAAAAAAAAAAAAAAAAATTAGCTGGGCATAGTGGCACATGCCTGTAGTCCCAGCTAGTTAGGAGGCTGAGGTGGAAGGATTGCTTGAGCCTGAGAGGTGGAGGCTGCAGTAAGCTGTGATTGTGTCGCTGCACTTCAGCCTGGGTGACAGAGTGAGATCCTGTCTCGGGGTGGGGGGGTGGGGAAAGCCCTTACACTCAGCTAACTCCTAAAATGTAGTTATTGAGCTTACATAGAAAATACTTGTAGCCACATAGTCTTCAACTGATGACAGGATGAAAAGAGCTTCTTTTGCCTACCAAACTGCCAAATCCAAGGCCTTTGCAGGAAAGAAGTGCTAATAATACAAGTATTACTCTTACAGAAAAGTAATATTCAGTTTCAATCTCATATTTGAACAAGGTATATCCCAAATAATCAGGAGTATTTAGCAAAATGCAATCATGTTAAAATGTATCTCACCTGTTTCCTCAAAAACATTTGTTAATTCCTTTGAGTGCACCTGTTTTAAGAAAATTTACAAAAAAATTTAGAAATCTATTTATCAAGTAAAACTGAAGTTAATTTTATTTCCTTTTTTCCTTTAAGTAAAGAAACCATGTTATCTCCCAAAAAGCTCTTACAGGAAGTCTACTAAACATTTATGGCAAAAATATTGCTACTATTTTAAAGTGTTCCAGAGCCCACTGGAAGAGAAAAAGCTGCTAAATGCCTTTTATAATCAGTTTCAATATCAGTGCAAAAGTATCAAAGAAATAGTACAAGCAGCACATCAAAAGACTACTACATCACAAACTTCCATTGTTTATTACGTGGGATGCTAGCTTTTAGATTGCAATAGTTATATTTTATAGTGTTAAGAAAATGTCTATTCCATAAGTTTTTTCCAAGAATGAATATTATTGGGTACCTTTTCTGTAAATAGAGATGATTTTTCTCCTCAGATCTATTGGTTTGTATTAGATTTCATAATGTCAGATCATCTTTGCATTCTTTGCATATTCACACCACTGTATAACTATCATTTTTAAAATGGCATATCATCGTCTGGTGACCTAGTTTTGTACTTAATAAAGTACTACGGTCTTTTGTCCATGTCATTAAGGATATTTTTAAAACAAAACAAAATAATGTCTGCATGGAATGCTGACAAATTATCAAAACTGGATGACTGGCACATGGGGACATATTATACCCAGTCTATCTTTTAATATGTCTGGAAATGTTCATATAAAAAGTTAATTCAAAAGTTCTGCATGAGAAAACAACAACAAAGAAAGCAGAGTCAAGAGACAAATGACGAACCGGGAAAAAAGATTTGCACCTCATTACCACAGACATATATAACAGAGTTCTGCCAGTTCTATAAGAAAAAGATCAATAATCTAATTGAAAAATGGGTAAAGGAAAAGTCAGTTCATAGAAAAGGAAATATACATGGCTCCTAAGCATATGAAAAGATGTTCAATCTTACCCATAACAAGAGAAAATAAAACAATTCTGGGATATGCCATTTTTTGACTCACCAAATATATAAAAGTACATTTGCTCTTTGTCAACTATTAATCAAGAACTATTGGTCTTTAACTTTCTCTTTGAGAACACAGATTTTAAATGGTCTTTTCCATAGTGTAGTTATAAATTATGAGGCGTACTAGGTGAGTACAAAAATAAGAGGGTACTAGGAAACCTACAACATAGAGGTTGGTGATTAAATTTGCATGGTCTGGCCGGACTTCCCTGAGGCAGCGATGACTGAACTAAAGAAGTTTGTATGTTTTTCAAGGGAATGTTGCACACACAAGGTACATCAAATGAAGTGTCCTGGGACATTTAAGAAATTGAAAGATGGCCAATGTGGCCAGAAAGTGAGGCAGAAGCTGGCACAAAATGAGACTAGAGACGAAAATCAGCAAGACAATAAGGGGCACTAAACACTATGGTTTTACTCCTAAAAGTAATGGGTAGCTTTAAGCATGATGATGATGATACTATTATTACCATTTTACGCATTAGGAAACCTGATCAGAGAGACAGGTGAAGTATCTTGCCTAAGGTGTTTCAACTACTAGGTGGTAGAGCCAAGATCCAGACATATATAATGCTTTTGGTCTTATTTTTAGCCACCAATACAGAGCTGGGAATAAGTTTCTTGATTACTCTCCATCAATTTTCATTTATCACTCGTTAAAAGTGATAATCCAAAACCAGTTTTACTTGAATAACTTATGATGATAAATGTCAGAACTAACTTTATACATATCTAAAAGTTTAAAGAGAATAAAGGAAAAAATAGAAACAGATCTGTTGCAATATGGCCATCTTACTTAATGATTCTACCTTACCTCAGAGGTATATTCTTGACAATCATCTCTTAAAGTGAGCAAACATTTTTTGGCAGGAGGAATGTGGTCATTTTCATCAAGCCTGCATTTAAATCTCTTCCTAGATATAAGATCCAAATTATCAAGAGGCTTTTTAGAATTATCTCTTCCAGAAATAGATAAACCCACGGCATCCTGACCAACTGAAGTTGCTGGTAAACAAATACTGCATAGAAAAGAAATACATATTAAATCACTGAATTAGAAGTTATTTAATACTTTTTTTTTTTTAATGATCCTAGAAATCCTTTCAATAACAAGGTTAAAGGCTGAGGTATTCCAATGAAAATTCCAATAAAACCAAAAAACTCCAAACTAACAAAGAGATACATGGCCATGGCCACAAAAATGCTATTAATAGTTTTGAGCTCCATTCATACTTAAAGGCTTATAACTTAAATTCCATAATATTGAATTAAATCTGAATATTTAATAGTATTTTCCCTGATTGTAAAGTTAAACGTTTAACCTAAAATGTCCCTTCTAGTCCAGGCGCAGCGGCTCATGCCTGTAATCCCAACACTTTGGGGGGCCAAGGCAGGTGTATTACCTGAGGTCAGGAGTTTAAGACCAGCCTGGTCAACATGGCGAAACCTCGTCTCTACTGAAAACACAAAAAATTAGCCAGGTGTGGTGGCACAGACCTATAGTCCCGGCTACTTGGGAGACTTAGGCACGAGAATCACTTGAACTCAGGAGGCGGAGGTTACAGTGAGCTGAGATCACGCCACTGCACTCCACCTGGGTGACAGAGCAAGACTCTTGTCTCCAAAAATAAAAATATAAAAGTCTTCAATTTCTAATGCTACACTATGGACAATTATCTTAATTAATGGTGGTTAAGATACAACTTACTTCCAAAATAAAGAATTAAGAGTATCAAAAAATAAAAATAAAAAAAAATAAGAGTATCAGGAATAGCTGGACACAGTGGCTCATGCCTGTAATCTCAGCACTTTGGGAGGCCAAAGTGGGAGGAATGCATGAGGCCAGGAATTCGAGACAAGCCTGGGTACCAGAGCAAGACTCCACCTCTGAAAAAAAAAAAAAAAAGTTTAAATTAGCCAAGCACGGTGGTGCGCACCTGTAGCTGAGAAGCTACTTGAAAGGCTGGGGCAGGAGGATCTTTTTTTCTTTTTTCTCACTCTATCACCCAGGCTAGAGTGCAGTGGTGCAATCTCAGCTCACTGCAACCTCCACTTCCTGGGTTCAAGTGGTTCTCCTGCCTCAGCCTCCTGAGTAGCTGGGATTACAGGCGTATGCCACCGTGCCCAGCTAATTTTTATATTTGTAGTAGTGATGGAGTTTTGCCATGTTGGCCAGGCTGGTCTTCAACTCCTGACCTCAGGTGATCTTCCCACCTCGGCCTCCCAAGGAACTGAGATTAAAGGCGCAAGCCACTACATCCAGCCAGGAGGATCTCTTGAGCCCAGGAGTTCCAGGCTGCAGTGAACTATGATGGCACCACTACACTTTAGCCTGGCACTCTAGCCTAGGCACCAAAGCAAGTCCCTGTCTCTTAAGAAAAAAATCTGTATTTATTACCACTGTACTATTTTCACAACTTTCTGTGAATGTATATTTCACAGTTTCATACGTGTGTGTCTATACAAAGTAACCACACTTTTAACAGGTATCATTTTATGATCACACTTTTAACAGGTATCATTTTATGATCTAGACTGTTAATATTTTTAGCTTTCAAAATAACTTAATAAACAAGTTTCATACAAAACTAATACATGAAACATTTAAGTGGCATCTTTATCAGACATAAAATCTACCACATTACATTTCTTCCCTAACTTACCACATAAATGATAAATAAGATTTCCACAACAAGATAAATAAGATTTCCACAACAATAACAACTAATATTGGTGAATGGTTTGTTCAATCAATATTACTTAATTCATAAATCACTTTTCCTCCTAGCGAAAACAGTTTTGCTCATTCATTACCTCATGTCACCTCTTTCTTCAGTATTCACTGATTTGACCAATATGGGAGCTGGCAGTAAAGGGTTTGGCATGAACTGTGCAGTGGCATCAGTAAATTCTTCTACTGCATTGGTTGGAATTTCCACCAGAGTTAAAATAAAGGCTTGTTCATCTTCTCCATCTTGAGGTACATTAGCAACTAGATTCACTATTAAAGTTTAAAAGTTAGTAATAAAAAAGCTCAACTATGAAATAACAGAATATCATTAATTTATTTCATTTCTAAAAAGACAGTTTCAGGACAACTTATCATCAAGATTAAATAAATAAATGCTCCCCGCCACGACCCCCCAGCCTGAGGAAGTAAGTTCCCTCCTTTTTTTTTTTGGGGGGGGAGACAGAGTCTCACTCTGTCGCCCAGGCTAAAATACAGTGGCACAATCTCAGCTCACTGCAACCTCCGCCTCCTGTGTTCAAATGATTCTCGTGCCTCAGCCTCCCAAGTAGCTGGGATTACAGGTGTGTGCCACCATGCCTGCCTAGTTTTGTACTTTTAGTAGAGACGGTGTTTTGCCATGTTGGCCAGGCTGGTCCTGAACTCCTGGCCTCAAGTGATCTGCCCACCTCAGCCTCCCAAAGTGCTGGGATTACAGGAGTGAGCCACCATGCCCGGCCCAAGAAGTAATTTCATAAAGGATAAAGCTGATAAACTA